AAGAGAGGTTTTATCTTTAACTTTATCTTTTTCATTATAATTTGTGTTGTAACAACTTTGTTCTTAGTGACAACGTTAATCCTCTTTTGAGTGATTAGCAACTGGACGTAGGGTCTTTTGATCCGAACCAGTATAAACCTATTGTGTAATCTTCTCTACTCTTCTCTATTTACATTTACGCAGTTTTTAATCGGTAAAATTTGGGGAAAATTTTGAAAACCTAATTTTTATTAAGTAACCAATTCACCCCCCCCCCCTCTTGGTTTTTGTCCGACCACGCGAACATTCCGCTGCGCGATTCTAACAAAGTTTAACAGTTCCAACACCATGAGATGATACTCTAGAGCCATCAGCCAGTGTAACAAAAGGTAAAGGATCAGGAGAGGATAAAGAGGAGAACAAAGATTTGTTACCAGTAATATGATCAGTGGCTCCTGAATCAAAAACCCAAGGACCAGAAGAAGATTGGGTCAGACCAGCAAAAGATGTACCTGTATGTGCGACAGACACAGTGGAACTAGAAGACTGTTGATCCTTATACCATTTGAGAAATTTGTTGAACATAGCAAGTGTGTCTGATGAAATAGAGGGAGGATCCTTAGCAGATAAAGGTGGGGAAAGATCAGTCTGAGCAACTGCAGCAGATCGAGGAGGACGACCATGTAATGCATAACACTTGTCAATCTTGTGACCTAATTTGCCACAATGTTCACACTCATATAATGCATAACACTGGTCAATCTTGTGACCTAGCTTGTCACAATGTTCACACTTAGGACGCCTTTTTCCCTGTTTGCGAGGGCGAGTTCGGTCATCACGATGAGATACCAATGCAGAAACAGGTGTGTCAGGGTTGAGTTTTGCTGGTATACGCAAAAGAGTGGAGCAGGTCGATGTCAAGGTGGGGACAACCGGAGAACCCAAAATCTGATCACGAATATGTGAATATTGATCAGCAAGTCCGTGTAATGCCCCTAACATGAAGAACTTTGATCATTATCCTATCTCGGTGGCAGGGTCAGGGGAAGGAGGCAATAACTCATTGAACTCATGAAAAAGAACATGAATTTTGCCCATATAATCAGTCATAGAATCTTGATGTTTAGAGGCAATAACATCTACAAATTTAGAACAGACATCATAGAGACGTTGAGTATCATTGGTGTATAATAACTTGGCATGTTCCCAGATTTTGGCACATGTTTCGTAGGAACGAAAAATTTGTTTTAACGAAGGATCAAGAGTACCCTTGAGAACCACACATAATTGAGCATCAATGGTGTCCCAATGGTCTTCCTCACCAGGAGTGAGAGTAGGTGCTTTCGGGGCGAGATGATCAAGATACTTCTGACTCTTAAGCCATAATCTGATGTCTGATGACCATGTGGCATAATTAGAGCCAGTTAACTTGTCAATGGATAAGTGCACATTAACATAGTTAGTGTAGATGGAAGGATCAGACACAGTACTGATAGAATTAGAAGTACTAAAAGGAGCGGAAGAAATCATAAAGGGCGGAGGCGTGAACCAGTACACCAGGTAAGTTCCCAGGAAAGAGAGGTGGGTCACTAATGGAAACGCTTAAATACCAAGTCTTTCCTTGTCAGAACTTTCCTAGACATGTACTTTCACACTACCAAATAACCGACAACGATAGTGGTCAAAGGCGAAAAAATTTTTCAAAATAACCTTAAGCTCTAGATACCATGTTGAATATAGAAGAAATAGATTTTAGGATTAATCTCCCTTGTGTATAAATCACACATAGGGTAGTCTATTTATAGTAGAAAGATACAACTAAAAGAATAACTAAAAGTAACAGAATAAACAGAAGATATTGTGGTTAACAATATCTAACAATATCTTAACAATATCAAATAATATCTAAACAATATCTAACAATTTAAATATATATTAAATTATTTAAATATATTTAAATAATTATTAAAAGTATTAAATAATAATTTTTTATTATATTTTTTTATATATATTTTTTATTTTTGAATAGGAAATTTAAAATTTATATATTTTTTTATTATATGAATTATTTAAGTTATAATTTTAGAAAAAAATAGAATAAATAAAAAATTAATTTAGGTAATATATTAAAAAATTAAATATTATATTATAAAAATTTATGTAATAGTTTTTATTTGATAAATTACAAATATTATATTAAAAAATTCATGCTAAAATTTTTTTTTAAATAATAAAGTAAAAATATTATTTAATTAGTTAAAAATTATTATTATTAATATAAAATAAACTTAAAAATAAAAAATAAAAAATAATAAAAATTGACAGAATTTAATGTATAATATTAAAAATAACATAATCATTGATAATAAAAATTGAAAAATAAAGTTATTGACAATAATGTTAAGAAAATTTTAATCTCAAAAGTGGTGTCCAGTTCCACAACGAGAAGAACGTCTATTACGTTTTGGATTTCGTCGGTGTGGTTGTTCTTGAATTTCAGGAGAAATCGGTGGAGGATTTTCTTCTTCATAAACCTCTATTATTTTCACTCTATAAAAATCTTTCTACCTTTATTATTTTTCTTTAATATCATGTTATATAATTTTTATTTTGCTACTAATAACTTATTTTTAATTTAACTTTTAATATTTTATATATTAAATTTATCAATTTTTTTCTAAAATTATAACTTAAATAATTAATATAATAAAAAAATATATAAATTTTAAATTTCCTATTCAAAAATAAAAAATATATATAAAAAATATAATAAAAAAATATTATTTAATATTTTTAATAATTATTTACATATATTTAAATAGTTTAATATATATTTAAATAATATATTATTTTTATTATTTTTAATTATATATTTTATTTAATTTTTTATTTTAAAAAAATGGTAAGTTTAAAGTTGGAATTCGATTTACGAGAAACCAAATTCCAAGTACAATAGTAGAAGATGTTTAGTCAAGTAAATAATTTGATGAGAGGTTCAGTTAAGTAAATAATTTCATCGAAGTTCTCATTACGTATATATATAATATAATAATATTATTTTAGTAAAAAAGTCATTACTTGTTATCAAGCAAAATACTCTTTTTTTTTTCAATTATTTTTCTATATAATCACTTTCACTCTCTACCTTCTATGTAAATGAATAAAACCTTAATTGAGGAAATGTTTTATTTTTCCAATTATCATGCATTAATTAATACCCAAAATATAAATATTTCACTTAGAAGTATCGCAGTTCAAATATTAAATTAATCAAAATGTAATGTACGTCTATGGTACATGTATAACAATAATTTTTATATGAAAAAAATTCGACAAAAAATATATATACTCAATATCTTTCTTATAATGTTATTCTTATATCAATGTAAGAAAGAATATGAAATGTAATTTAACATGATTTTAACCACGAGTGATGTGCCACCCTTTGGTGGTTAAATTTGTTATCCTTATAAAATATTTTCTTATTTACTTTTTATTCATTGTCATCCATTTTTTATGGTAGTTAAAATGATAAATTAGTCGATATTTGTAGGGATGATAAGAGGCATTTATTTAAATGTGAATAATAAAATGAAAAGAACTTTACTATATGATATACATTAGTTTAAAAATTGATATATATTAATAAATGAGATATACAAAAAAAAATGTACATTCAATTTTATCTATTATGTCATTATATATTATACTAAAATTGATTATAATATTTTATGTTTTAATGATATAGATTAATAAAGTATTTCATATGTATTTTAAGAGTAAAAAGAGCTTTATATTTTTTTGGATTAATGTGATAATTAAGTTTATAAAAGTAAAAATTTTAATTAAAAAATATATAAATTCTTTGAAAATTTGTATATCTCATAATATTATTTTATTTTGTCACCTCATAGATATTTTTAATCCAATTATTAATATATATATATATATATATATATATATATATATATATATATATATATATATATATATATATATATATATACACACACGTCTCGAATCTATCTCATAAATAAAGTTTATTAATTAAGAATGAAATATTGGTTGACTTAAAAAATTATCAATCTTAAATAATTGTTTCAATTCTTATTCTTGTGTAAGGTAATTATATTTTTGGTGATTTGTTTTAAAAAAATATAGTATTTAAATATCTTTTAACGAATCCAGCGAAAATTAATGATGGGATGATTATCATATATCACTTTTAAGAATTTATCTAATAAATATAATAGTAAAATCTTCAGACATGAATAAATTTCTAATGATAATTATAATAGATGGTATAAATAATACATAAATACAAAAATTAAAAAAAAAAAAGGATAGAAGAAAAAATTATAAATATAAAAATTTACAAAACTTTATTCCCGTATCCCCTAATTCCCAATAAGATCTAGGAGTTATAATACAATATACGTACACAAAATCATAATATACAGTCACTTATTACAACTCACATGAATATAAACGTCTATATTATATGTGTCGTCTTGTAAAACTATATTAAAACAGATTCGACTGAATCAAGTCTCTATGCAAAGTCGTATGTAATTTATATTTTCTAAGACTAAAGTTTATAAACATTAAGTAATCAAACCAAAAGGTTTATGTGCTATATACTTAATATTACTTAGTTTTTAATATATATATATATTTAGTATAACCATTAAATAATTCATTGTGCATGTTTAATGTTGTTATCTATGTTACAACATTAAAACGTTGTAAAAGTGGATCGGAAAATCATTTGAATGGGACTGATAAAATGGAAAACATGATGTTTCAGAATGCTGAGAAATCATAACAATCACATATGGTGGCTTCAATCGACATAATTTTTATTCGTGCTAATATTTTTGTCTAATTGCAGGGATTAGTCAAAACTGTAGCCGCTCAAACGATGACAATTCCACCATCAGTCACCAACAACATAGTCACATGCTGAGAACTATAAAAAGGGCAAGAACCGTGAAAGACCGATACAATACACAATATTTGGTCTACGACCAACCAAATACATAATCAAGAACATACACCAATGCCAGGGAGAAGGGGTAAAGTAGGATAGCCAGTATAGATGTCCATAGAGGGAAGACAGTGCGGAAGCTGGCAAAGACACCCACCACAATGCAAACGACCAAAATAACCAACACTTCTGAAGAGAAGTCCCATGTCAATCCCCTCACATAAACCAGGGCCAAGAAGACTGATAGGCAAAGCACATTATTCATTGTCACTGCACCATATATCTGCAAAAACAATAGAAATATAATTCATGTTTTAAATGACCTGAAGGAAATAAATTACAGTAATTGGTAAAGCTTATAAATCAGCTAGCCTATGCATATGTGTTGAAAGAAAAGTATGCATGAATAGACGCCATCACCCAAGAAATCCAAACATAACCTTAAGTTCAGAACCAAATCCCCAAGTTACAAAAAGCTGCTAGTACTACGGCTGCAATTATTACATCAATACTGTTATGCTAAAAGATAACTCACAAGTGACTTGAAATGTCGGGGCAAGCACCAATCATTAAATTAATTGGTAAGAAAATATACCAGTAGCCATGAACAAGCACAACAATAATGATGATGCCAACAAGTACAACTACCATTACGATCATCTCTCTTAATCAGTTAGCCATTTAAACAGCCCAAAGTATGATTTGACTCTAAAACTTAGGAAATTCCAATTTCACCAACCCCAGAATTTCAAGAGTATTGCTATTCGCTAAATAGAAATCGATGTAACTACAGGAAGGTGCAACTTATCTTTCTGTTATTATCCTCACCACCTTGCCCCCTAAAAAATACTTTTCCAGTTTAAATATTAATGTTTGGGAAAAGATAACATGAAAAGGACCCATCAGCATTGTATTTATCCAAAACTCCAAACTAGCCATGGCAACCGGTGCGGTTTTTTCCCTCACCTGTCCTTGACTTGTTAACCGTCCTTACCTTCAATCTTCTTCAACATTAAAAATTAAATCTTCATTTTCATTGCTGTTTTACATAATTTTTTATATTTATAATAAATTAAATTTAATATTTTTTATGTATTATTTTTTATATATAAATAAATATTTATTAATTAAATATATATTTTAATTTATTATATTTATATTAAAATATGAATATAAAAAATAATTAATTTTTTTTTCTTTAATAATAATAATATTACTATTATTATTATTTAAATATTTGATTATATGAATAAGTTAATTATTTTTTAAGTTGTCATTTTAAAATATTAATAAATATGAAATATATAATTTATAAAAATATTTAGTAAATTAATTCTTATTTAAATAGTGCAAAATAATAAAAGTTCTAATTATCAATTCTTTTTAATCCTTAAAAATATAATTATTTTATTAAGATAAATTCTGATATATAACATATATGAATAACAAAATTTAAAATATATGATATTACAAAACTTAATAAAAATAATCTAGAAATAAAATAATATTAGATACTACTAAATTGAGATAGAATATTTAGAAAAAGATAAAGAAAAAGAAAAGTTGTGTTTATCAAATTGATTAAAGAGATTGAAAAAATAAAATTGATTGAAGAAATTAAAGAAGTGTGAATAGACAAAAAGTGGGAGAAGAGAATAATATAATGAATTGATTGGTTGAAAAGATTGGAAAAGATAAAAAAGTGAAAAATAGGTAGGAGAAAAGTAAAAAGTATGAAATATAGAATAAATGACTTTATATATAACTGAAAAAGAAAAGAAAAAATTTTAAAAAATTAATATTTTAGGGTTTAGATTTAAATATAAAGTCGAGACAAAGACCGAGATATGGCTAGAGTGGATATTGCATTATTTATTCCCGTCTCCGTCCCAACTTTTTAATGCAAAAAACAACCTGCATCCGATAAACTCGGTTTTTCTCCACCAAACTCGGGATGGTGACAAATTTAGTTTCGGCGAATGGGGATTCAATTGTCATCCCTCCTCCAAACACCAAAGGAAATTGTTATTTGAATAACCACATCAACTTTATTTAAATGTTAACTGAATACATTAACTTTAAATGTCATCCCGAAAAAGTCATAGTCAGTAATGAAAAGATCATGCAGAAAGTGACATAAATGAGTGAAAAGATATAATTTCCAATGCTTTATTTATAGGTCATACTCAATTTTTGCATACTAATGCCTGAAAGAAAAGTGTATGAAACAAGAAAACAAACCTCAGAAAAAGTTAATGAAGCAGTCTGCCTTTTATCCCGACTAGCAAAAATTATTGCTGACACTGCTTCACTTGAATTGGTTGCTAAAGGAAGAGCAATGAAAGAAATGAAGAAAGCTGGAATACTTGTAGCATCAGAAAAGTTATCCACTGCATCAACCAGAGGATCAGCAAATGCAGCAGCAATAATAGTACCCAGTAGCAGAAGCAGAACTGCTTTGATGGATGTCCATTTAACATTCTCAATGCCCTCAGCTTCTTCATTACTCTGATCTCCCACATCCAGCAAATCATGTTCCCTCTTTGTTTCCTGTGCATAAAACCCCTGTCAATCTTAAGCACCAAAAAAAAAACAAAAGTTCATGAAGTTGAGCGTTAACAAATTCTTAAAAACTTACTGTGTGAAAATTACTTAAAAACTTCATTGTGTGTGGACCAGCATCACCAGATGCAACCCGAGCACGCTGGGCCCTCAGAAGCCATCTACAGACACCATTAACAAATTCTTCTTCATCAACAAGTCGATTGCCAGAAGTATCAAAATCATCCATGATCCTTTTTACAGCATCATCATGATCCAGGTCTATCTCCTCAAATTGAATTCCAATAACTAGTGCTCTCAATTCATTATGAGTAAGATTGCCATCTTGATTTTCATCAATTGTTGCAAACAATCTAAATATATTCCATTTAGAAGTCAGTGACAACCAAAAGCATGAGAATATGAGAATGCTACACATTTCTTTAAAAGTAAAATACTTTAAGTCAAAGCAAAAAGGAGAGATAGCCTTACTTTCTAATGACTTCTTTATCAGGTTCACCATCATCTTTCAGAAGCCTTCCCAATGCACGTTTCTTCAAATGTGTCAAAAGTCCTAAGATAACATGCTTGTGTTTAATATATTCAAGCTTCCTCCTCTGTATCCAGGGCTGGAAAATCTGCACCATTTTTTCTTTTTCTTAATTTCTATAAGATGCAAAAAACAATGCTTGGTTTTAAAACAGGTCACACATTTATCCAGTATACAGTTACTGAAAGTGCTAACTGTAGGATCATATCGAACAAAAAAAAAATATTTTGCATTATCGAGAGTTTTATGAAAATTGTGCTGGCTGATGAAAAAAAGAAACAAAGATCACAAGAAACACAAGTGCATTGTAAAAGAAAATTACCTGGTAAAGACAATAAGCAACCAATAAACAGAGAGACACGATGAGAGCTATCAAAACAGCCAAGTGCCTTCCTGATGTTGAATTGAGAATTTGTGGTAACTGAACGATCACAAAGGGAAGGACAGATATAACCATAATCCGTGCAGCATAACTTGTCCAGATATCAGTACTAACACCAGAACCTGCACATGGATATTTTAGTCAAGAATCCAAATGAATCAAACATTCCGGACATCTAAAATGTACGGCTCAACTGCACATATACAAACATCATGGTTTAGGAATAAATAAATAAGAAAATGGAGATCACAAATTCACAATATATCTTTAACCAGCCCTCTTCTAAAACTCCTCAACTCAACAATAATAATCAATGCACACATTCATCGGTTTGAATGCATTATATAATCCATGATCCACAATTATGGTTGAAGAAAGATATATGCAGTAATTACTAAGTGAACTATCTCCCAATTATTAATTCTTGTTAGAGATGTTAACAGTATAAAATCATTCATCTTTCTTCATTTAAACTTAAGCTCTCGGATAGTTAGTTTATGATATTGTATCAGATTCTTAACGACCAAGTGGTTTACAATTGATCCTTGCGACAATCATTCTTCTAAACAAGAAAATGTGGAAATTAAGCATAAAGTAGCTGACCATATGGGCTGTTCACTGTTCAAACCTAAAGGGACATTGTATGAGAGGGCATGCTAAAAGATGTTAAACATGTTAAAACCAAAGCTTTTGTGATAGTTTGCTCATGACACTCGTAAAAAATAAAAAAATAAAAAAAATCATTAGTCAATAAATAAATAATCAGCATACATTTACACAAAATATAGTGAATGTTTTACAGGGAAATTCCACAAGGTTGATCGCTTGAGTGAAAAGAAAGGAGAGGAAACACTAGAATCTTCATGCTTAGGGCAAGGAAAAGTTGGTTGAGATAACTTGATTTCTAAAATTAAATAATGAACAGTTTCAAATGGCATACCAGTTAAACTAAATCCTCTGGTGTCTCGTGAATCTATTGCAATTGAACCCTCGATGTCACACTTGCCAACAATTACACAGGTCCCCCATATTATAGTAAGAAGCAGCACCGTTGACCCAGCTAGCAGTCCCATTCCAACAGATACCTGACTTTGAGCAGTTTCTTTACTGCCTGAAAGCCCAGACACTAGAAAAGAAAACAAGAAATACATGTTAGGGGGAGAAATGGACAAATGGACAAGCATAAATCTTAGTGGGTGAGACAAAGAAATTCAGATTATTGAAAACAAAAATTCAAAGTAAATATGACGTTAAAGATAAGTGTAATTTTTTATCATTAAGGAAGAATAATAGATGTCTCAAAGCAATCACTAGTAGTCAGATTAAACCGAATCAGCTACATTATCAAATTTTGGCCTCCGTTTGGCTGTTACGATTTGAACTGTAAATCTAGAATACTACAATAATTGGTCCCGTACCAGCTATCTCTCATACTGACAAGTGAGAGTCGCTAATCTTAACTATAGAATAAAAAAGAATAGTCAAAATTATATTTAAATAAAATAATATTGACCAATGACCATCAATAATATATATGGGCATATGGTCAAGATTAACTCCTCCTAGATTTTTACACTTAATTATGCATCTGCTTTTCCATGGGCCACCCAGGCTCAAAACTACATTTCTCTCTTTCACCAAAGACCACAAAAAGAAATTTAAATTATATTGAGGTGGAAAAAAAGGTAGCAACAAAGACATTAGCTCTACAAAAGAAGCATTCCATCCTGATGGATTCACAGCACAAAAATTAAGCACCAAAAGCAAAGCGGTTGAAAATTCAACACAACCAAGAATAGTCTAAAATGGAAAACAATAAAAAAATATCACAAAGAACAGAGGCAGAAGAACTTAGGAAGTAGAAACCGGGAAAAAAGAACTGCAACAAAGAATCCAACTGAAATAATCAATAAAATTCAAACAATATTCTCCCCGCCGAGTCAGAAAAGAAAAACACTAAAAATAGAAAACAATAAAAGGGAAGAAGATATATTGGGACTTAGAATATGATTCTCGATTTCCGATCCTTCTGCGCGGTAGCGAAAAACCTTAAACAGGTAGGTAAACTCAGGATAGCGACGTGAATCACTTCAACAAACAACAATCCAGTTAAACAAAGAGAATCAGAACAACCCAACTGATCCAAACGAGGCCTAACTACCATAGTCCACACACCATACATCTCTCACTAATTCACCCATAAAACCTCAATTCGCAGAAATCTCATTCCAGCTCCATAAACAAGCGCAAAGATTCCAGCATCATAAAGTAAGATAAAAAAGCTCAAACCACTGAATTTTCACGAATCATCGAAAAGTGAAAACTTATATAGAAATATTATTTAATCAAAATTTCATCTACATACTCTACATAATTTTTCAAAGTTCTATTTCACAGATTCCGAAGTATAGTTCAAATTCTAATCAGAGAACAAGTCGTACAGTATTGAATATAAGTTTCTACGTCGTTAAAAAGAAAATAGAGAGTGAGAGTTAGTACCGAGGATGAGCATGGCATCGGGAAGTGCACCGAGAATGGGGAGGAAGAGGCCGCCAACAATGCCGGGGCCCAAGATCTCGAGCAGGAGCTCGCTGCCGCCGGAGAGGAACGTCGCGGCCTTGAACATGAGGAATCCATAGACGATGATGAGGAACAGGTTACCGAGCACGGTGGTGGTGCAGGGTAGGAATCCGTAGGTCTGCTCGCAGGTGGACTCAGCCGTGATCGCCGAGGGGAGGCGGAGGATGCCCTCCCAGCTGTTGGCGGAGACGCCGTCGGAGAGCGGATCGCGGGAGAAGAAGCGCGCGTGGGCGTAACCACACAGGATGATAATCCAGAGGATGAGGAAGAAGGACCGGTGGGAAGTGAGATACGGAGACATAGTCATTGGAGTGGAGTGCTCTGTGGAGTAACCAACGGCCAAATCGCTAAATATATATACGTGTCACTTTATCAAATTTTATTTAGTAATTGAATTAACAATTTTTTTATATAATAATATTATCCACCAAACTTCGTTTTAGATTGATATACAGTTTTACTACAAAACTAAGTAAAATTTGGCTATTTTATTATTAAAATATCTTGTCAAACATGATTTTAATTATAAAATAAAGATTATACATTTAAAAACTAAATTATATTTGATTATTGAATCTAACTTTAGTAAGCATGTATATCATAAAATAATAGTTTTGACAGTTGGAGTATGTTTTAGAAAAAAAAAAACTTGCTAAGATATGAGGACCTGTTAAATGAAAAAAAAAAAATGTATTTAATTAGAGACACGTATGGTACGCGTAGTTTGTAGAAATATATAGAAAAAATGAATTTATAGAGTTGAAGAGGGAGGGATGAAGGTGGTAGTTGAAACAAGAGACATAGGGATAGAGTTACCGTGTTCCACTTTCTCAATTGAATGGGCCCACAGTTTCTTGTGATCATCGTAATGTAAGGATCATCATGTAATTTAATGATTGAAGCACAAGTGGCACTCAGATTTTAATTACTTTTAATTACTTAATATTTTACTTTGTCTTTTATATTAAATAAATAATTTATATTATAACTCTAGATTAATATTATGTTTTCATCGATTTATGACTTAACAAAATCTTAAGTTTTATGAAAAATCTTGTTCTTAAATGTATTTGAATAAAAAATGGAATAGGAAGAAAACAAAATATATTTTATAATGCATAAGATACTATTTATTGCAAGGGATATAAGAATCTGTGATATATGGTATAAGAAATGGAGTGGTATTCCTTTCTGGTGAAGTTTAAGATAAGAATAAATATTTGTACGAATATAGCAAGAGTTAGGTGAACATATATATAGCTTTCTTAAATAGAGATGAAAATGAATCATATGAAAATGAGAATCATATCAATACTGTAAGGAAGGTATTATTTTTAGTACATTTAATTTTTTATACTTATTTTTTTATTTATTCTAAAAATTTAATGCATAATACTTATTTCTGTTTAAAATATTACTGTATCTCATTGACTATTTATTATAATATTACTTCTTGATTTACTACAAATTAATAAATTAATAAAAATATTATTTAAAAGTTAGTACAAAAATAATTTTCAAATTATTCAAATATAAATTTACAAGTAACATTAATAACATAACTATTTTTTTTAAAATTGATTAAGTCTAACAATAATCTATAAAAATACTTACATCAATTAAATTTCTTAATTTTCAATATCTATTTTTTAAAATACAATAATATGACTCATTATCAATTATAATTGTTTATATAAATTTTTATTATATATTTATTATAATTTTCATTATAGTAAATTATAATGATCCTTTGTTATTATGATAAAGTATCATACTAAAAAATAAACTTTCATTGATTATAATAAATAATATACAAAGGGTATATTTTTTTACAAATAATCCTTAATAGTTTGGGAATAAAAAATTATAAAAATACAAAATACATGTATAATAACTCTCCTATTATTATAACTTAAACTACACTTATTAACCAATAATCTCATCATATTGTACCTCCTTATATGTTTTAGTACAACAACATCATCATAACATTTAAGTACAGAGAAATAAGGTTAAGTTAATTATTGAAATTTAATAATTTATCTAACTAAATTATGTAATATAATATATATTTAAATTATAAAGATTATTTCACATGCATCACTTTCACCACATCTCATCTATCATAATTAGACATCTTCAATAAAGATAAATTCAAAAACTAACATTTATGAGATATATTGAAATTAATATTGTACCAAATACTCTATGACTACGAACATCATTTTAGCTTTCTTACCCATAAAATAGAACTACTTATAACTCCACTTATCCTAACCTACCTCTTGTGTAATCACAGAACAAGTCATCATCAATCTTCCATAAACTCCTTAACACCTGATATCTTACTCTATATGATAGAGTTATTAGTGAAATTTGTTATTTTGTTGAATATGCATGAACATAGTTATCACACTAACTCTAAAATACCTCTTCGGGTAGTTGCTCTCATTTTTTAACCACATGTCCTAGGCTAACTTGCTTCACAACAACATACATATCTCACTCGATTATAAGTAAACCCTCTTGCTGAACTTAGTCTCACCATACATTCATTCTATTTTATTATAGGTAATAATCTCTAACTCGACTTAGTCTCACAATATACCCCTATCTTGTTATCATGCACACCATTTAACACAAGTATTTTGCTTGAGCGACCATTTGTCGCTTGAATGAAATACTTCTATTATTCAACTAAAATAATTTGGCTTCTTTCTCGCTTGAGTGACTTATGTCAACTGACAATGATACTTTACTTGAGCACTGATGAGCTTCACTTTTATCGTAGTGTGAAGGTTCAAATTAGTTCCCCTAAAACAATAAGAATGTAGTTGTCGCCGCCATCCCCAACCGCTAAGGGAGGGGAACCAAAAGAGGCGGTTGATTGCGACGTGATGTTTTGTGACTCGCGTTTTCGTAAAATAAATGGTCATAACTTTTTAGGATGCTCGTTAACCGAACTATCCTTAAAGGTGAGGTTTTCATAAAATGGGGTTCTTAAGGAGTCGCCACTAATGTTTTAACCATAAACATTAAAAAAAAGAAAAAGAAAAGGCGTTGGTTTTAGAAAAAAAATCAACTTTGGCCATTATAACCAGAGTTGGGTAAAGGAGTTAGTTACGTGTGGGGAAGATGTTAGCACCCCACAATGCCGTTTCGGGTTCCCTATGATGGACTAATTCTAAAAATAAAGATACAGAAATTATGCTTTTACCCTATTTATTTATCTACGTGCAGTAATTATATATCTACATGACCTTAATTTATAACGCACATAAAGGAAAGCGATAAAAGAGAAGGAATAGAAAAAGAACCTCTAAAACGAGCTTTTCTATATATCTCGAAACTTGAGGACGCTTTTTGGCAGTCCCCTTCCTCTACACAGACACTCCTCCCATGAACAATAAAATTATTATACTACCAAGTGTCGGATGTCTCAAAAAGAGACTTCCTTAACTGACTTAATCCAAAAAGGATAGTTGAAAACACTACTCGGACTCTGAAACAAAGCAAAAAATGCTCTAGAAAGCTTCAGAGTAGGAGAGAGAAGAGAGCTCTCAGCTGAATGGTGTGTGGAAATAGGAGAAATGAGCTCCTATTTATAGGCTTGTGGATCTAGGAGGTCGGGACGACCGTCTCGTATTTTGTCAGGTGGGACGACCGTCTGGAATTTTGGGACGGTCGTCCCAGGTTACAAAAGGGGTGAGATGGCTGTCTAGATTTAGGACGACCGTCCCAGGGCACCAAGGGGGTTGGGACGACTGTCTAGAATCTGGGACGACTATCCAAGTCTTCTGACAAAAATCCTAATTTTTATTTTTCTAAGAAAACCCTCCTTTTTTTTAAATATAGCCTAGAAAATGCTACTAGGGGCCTAATGAAGCCTTGTCCATCTTCGAAACGGAGGATTTCTGAACTTTATTGCGAGGTCGGGCAAGATTAGGGGTCTACACTGCCCCCCCCCCTTCACCTGACTGAACGGTTGTTGGCTAAATGTTTCGTAAGACCGGTTGGCGGGTGAAGGAGTTGACCCTTTGCCCGTTTATCCTTCGGATGCTCCTTTAGTGCGGTAGCTGACCCTCTAGACGATGAATGAGTGTATTCTTCAAAGTTGACCATAGGGTGTTCCCTTTGACCCTATGGTGATGAGTATGAACCCCCACCTGGTTTGAGCCCTCTTTTGTAAGACTCAATGAGTATGAACCCCCATATGGTTTGATGAGTACCAACCCCTATCTGGTTTAAGTCCCCTTTTGTAATACTCGTCTTCAGGATGCTGCTTTTGGTGCGGTAGCTGTCCTGTGGTTGATGAGTACGAACCTCCATCTGGTTTGCAGTCCCCTTTTGTAAGACTGGATGAGTACGAACCCTCATCTAGTTTGCAGTCCCCTTTTGTAAGACTAGATGAATACGCACCCGCATCTGGTTTGTAGTCCCCTTTTGTAAGACTGGATGAGTACGAACCCCCATCTAGTTTGCAGTTTCCTTTTGTAAGACTGGATGAGTACGAACCCCCATATGGTTTGCAGTCCCCTTTTGTAAGACTGGATGAGTATACACTCTCATCTATTTTGAGTCCTTTCCTTGGACTGAACTGTGTGGTAGCATCTTACTGATCTTGGTCACGTGCTGTCTCCATAGGGAGTGGTTTTTGCTTGAAATTTGTTGACTTTTTTTCTGGTGTAGTCCTCCGACGAACCGAGGATTCTTTGATTTTTTTGGCTTTTACAATAGCCATCCAGCTTCTTGGTTGCTAAGGATTCTTTTGACGAATGCCTCTTAGGTAGGAAGGAATGCAATGGGGATTTGTTTGATTCTGACGATGCCTCTGAGTAGGCGGGTGCTTCATTAGAAGTGAAGACTTTTGATTGCATTTCTTTGCCTCTGAATAGGCTGATGTTCCCTTTGGGGACGTTGGTTCTTGCTTGTCAGGTCTTGCCTATGCGCAGGCGAACGACTCTCTAAGGATATGAGCTTTGAAGATTGCCTTTGCAGTAGGCTCACTAGGATAGGTTCTTCTTTTTGGTGATCCACCGGGGAATTATTTGTCTCCCTGGGGATCTGTTTTTTGATAGCCCTCTGAGGAAATGGAGTCTCAGCTCCTTGATTGATGATGATAAGAGCTAGCTTTGTAAAGCTCTTATTCTGTTGGGGGAATATAATTTCTGATTCCTTGATTTGCTCAATTTTTCTTTCTTTTTTATGACCCACTTGGGGAGTTATTTGGTGTCGTCACTGTCAAAAGAGTCAATCGGAGCGACGCGATGGTTTCGTTTGACTCGCGTTTTTAAAAGAAAT